TTACTTAGCAAACATTTTTATATTTTATTAGTTACCATGTGGCAAATGAAATAAAGTGGACCTAAAATTTTAAAAAGTTTTCTTATGGAATCTGTAAGTAGAAATTTGTGGAGAAAGGAAGAAGGGGAAAGTCCTTTATATGATCAAGGTAAGTGACACATTTTCATCATTAGCTTTTTAATTCATGTCATCTTTGATTTTAAATCTCATGTCCAACTGCCTGCAATTCCACACTTTATTTTAATTATGAATTGACATCTCTCTACATACATCTCTCTACACAAATATCTGAATAACCTCACCTCTTCTCTTCCCCATTAAATAAAGTAGCAATTAACCCACCCTACCCACCTCCAACTCATCACGGTCATATGTACCCCTGAGGGACTCAGGTAAAAATATCATTACTAGTGATAGCTGCAGAAATCAAAAATCAAATCCTCAGACTTAAATCTATATTCTGAACCATTTAAAGGATAACATTAGCAGCCTAATAATAAAAAAGAATCAATTAAAGTATTCATAGAAAGAAAATATGCAGTGTGATATGTGAACAACACATCTTAGTGATACCATTAATGAAAATATTTTTATGAAATGCACAGAGGACTAGTTTTCTAATGTCTGAAATATTTGTATTCTAAAGTATTTTTAAATAGCAAGATAAATGAATGCTTTCAGATTCTGCTATCAGTGAACCAGAAAATAAGATGGTATTTCCAATTCATTTTGTGCATTATTAGTATGGATGATTGAAGCTTTTGAATATTAAAATACCTAATAGGCAAAATTTTATTTTTGTAGTTTATAAGTAAATGACTGGGTGTTTAGTTTTAATTTATATTTTTAGCTGGAAACTTAGGTTTACTCATAAAGAAATGCATATAAGATACAAAGATGGGCCATAGTGAATTATGTATGTGTCTATATTTTTAAACAACTTTCTGTTTTCAAATTATGTTGATCCCAGCAATAACACAAAGCATTATCTTGAAGTTAATTTTAGTTTTAAATAAATTTGTGTCCATGTGAAGAGAGAGAAAGAGATTTTAAGGAAGTATGGAAAATAGCAAACCAGTGAAGTAAGATGAAGAGGATTGCGGTTTAAAGCATCCCCTTTATTTATTTGCACAGCTTGTCTTCACCATGAAAACTTTTCACTGTGCTTTTTCCCACACCCAGTGTAGAATCAGGTTCAAAAAGGATTTGTAGACACAGTCAAAGAGAATTGGCAGTCAATAGAAGTGACATCTATGTGTTTCCACTTAAAAATCCCTGCCCCTGATCTATTTGAAATGGCCTGCAGTCAACTTTATAAAACCTGACCTATGGTTTCCATTTTTCTTCCAAGCCTCCCATGGTTAATAACCTTTTTAAGATTTGTAAGGCCAGTGAGCATTTGTCAAATGGGACTGTCTGCTTATAACATCGAGTCAATCACAGAAGAGATCCATCAAAACATTGGTTCAGAAGTCCTGTAAGCTGTTCTTAGCTGTATTCACTGCATTCTAATGGATCCTTTTGGCTGGAAACCTTTCCAACCCAATCATTAAACAACTCAAATTACGTGTCTTGCACTGGCTCCTTCTCTCCTTTCCTACCCACCACCCAACCTAGTTCAGGTACCATAACCCACAAAGAAGTGCTAAAAATCCTGATAACCACTTTGTCTGTCTTCCAACCCCTCCCTCACCCTACCCTGCCTTCCACTGCCAGATTAGTCCAGACCTACCCTCTATTCTAAGAAACCCAGTGCTTGTTGAATCTCATTCAAATTCCTAATGTTCAAAGTACTCCCATCACTCTTCCCATCTCCCTGTTGATAGACTCTTATTCCAGCCCTCCATTGAAGATACATTCATTTACTGGACAGCCCTCCAAACATACTCCATATGGGCTTGGAGCTGTCACTCAGCCCAGCATCCCCTTGTTTGGAATGTCCCTTTCCTCAAAAATGTCCCTTTCTCAAACTGCCTGTCTGCCTACTAAACATCTACCTTCCTTTAAGATGAATGTCAAAGGCTACTCCTTCCCAAACCTATTCTTGATTAATTGGGCCAGCAAGCATAGGTAGTAATTTTTAAAGTAAATTTCTGCTCCTCAGCTCTTGCAGTTAGCCTTCTCTTCCTGCTTATTCACATCATACCCCTTCCGCTTCTTAGATTGTAAGGTCCTGAACGTATCTTATCCTTCTTAGTATACATTGAAGCATCTTGCACAGTGCCTTTTACAGGGGCTTAATCAATATTGACTGAATGAATGAAGAATGAAAGGGAAAGCATGCTATTTATTTAACTAAAAACTTTTACATGAGATTCAGGTTTCATTTTGAAGAAACCCAGGTCAATGTCTAAATTATCTCAGCTATGCTTCTTTAAACAGGGTATTGATTTAGATATGCAAGTTCTATCCTAGCATATTGCAAGCAGAGAAACAAAAGAAGTGTCTTTACATTAGTATTTTCTTCAAAGAAGAAAGAGATCATACAAGATGTCAGATTTTTCACTTATTTTGAGGATCTTTTCAAAGAAAAGATGATATTTTGAAGTTGTAAAGATGATATAGCCATCTGTTTCAGTTTGATCCTACCCACTCCGCTATGGGAAATATTACTTCATGTTGTCTTACTTCTCGTCTGACACGAGTTGTAAAGATAAAATAATCTGAGAGATTGAGAATGCAAAGCTGTCCATATTTTTACCACAGTGTGTACAGGTTTGGAACACATGTGATTAATAGTTCACTTTTTAAAATTAAATAGAGCACTGATAGTCTAAATGTCAGAAAACATACCTCATGTCCATATTATAAGATCCCCATGTTTATATCATCCTTTATATATGTGAGAGGACAGGATTCATGGCTTACTGGGGCCATCATTCAATTTTATCTTTTCCTTTTTCATTCAATCCTTCAACAACATTAATTAAATGTCTAACAGCATATCAGCACATACATGGTGAGCTCAAAAGGCGTACTCCTTGTGTGCATTTTATTCACATATAGTCCTTTTCTCACACAAAATTTAATAGTTTCACAACTGAAACCACTTGTTTGTTTTTTTGAAACCACTTGTTTTCCCTAAAATCAGCTTTTCTGGTTGATTTTGTAACTGGTGCTAATAGCATCACTCCTCTCCCTTGGTTTGAAGCAGCAGAATCACCAAGACCCTCAATATTTCTCACGCCAGTTGCTGGAATATTCTTGTAATTAAATGTACTATCTCCAGTATTCCTACACTTTAAGGCGTTACACACACAAATGTTTAAATTTATCAAAAGTTCATTACTTATCTAATTAAGAACTACAGACTGCTGATGCAAACTGAACCTTAACTCATTATATAAAATTGTCCCAATCTGCTTTCCTAATGTTACTTTGCCACATTTTTTGTAAACATACTCCCGACTTCACTCACATTCAGTTATTTGCTATCTTGCACTAGCCATTTCCTCATAAGTACATTTACCCAGCATCTTCCTCTCTGTGACATAACCAAAGAAAATGGGACATTCTCCAAGAAACACCTTGAGCAAAAATTTCTCTAGAGTCTTAGATGACTCTCATAGATGTTTGAGTTTTATCATTCCTGGAAACCCATATTTCATCATTTCTAAGGGATTCTCTGCATTTTGCTTTATGTTGTCTAACAGTTCCCTAAGCTATATGCTCCTAACGCAGAAGCAGCTTTATTTATCATCGCTCAGGGTAGGTGCTCAAAAAAATGTTATTTGCTTGTTGATATTTCAGATTCTAAATCTTTTTTCTAAATCCTGTACATCTTCTAAGTCTTATATTAAAATATGGCAAGAATAGCAATGATCAGCATGATTTCTATACCATCCATAAGATCCAGTGAACGAAAGGGATTCTGATCTGTGGTGTTTGGGGTATAGACACTCAGCCTTTTCATATACCTATGATTTCTTTCAACTTACTTCTTCATTTACTGTTCCATCTTTATGTTTTTTACACTCATTCTTCTACTTTCTCTACCTCTGTCTTAACATGAACAGGGATATTCTCTGGCATTTTGCTTATCTCTGCTGGTAGTACTCAAGGATTAAAATATTTCTGACTTCTGAGATATACTATAAAGGATGATAATTGTCTTGCTAGGATGTTGCTAATCTCTAAACTAACATCCCAGTTTGTGGAGAAAAATAAAATCAAAAATTCGAAGTGAATTTCAATGTTTAAGACTCTCACAAGAGTTGTCAGTCAACATAGGTGCATTAAAGGGAAAAACCAGATGATTAAAACTCATATACATGTGGCTGTGTATGTGTGTGTATCAACCATATACATTAAAAGAAAATTAAAAATCACCAACAACTTCTTTAAGCAGCTTTTCTTTCTATCTCTATTCCAATTTCTGCTACTTGTGCAATCTTACCACACTACTGAAAAATAAATTAAAGTTTAAAAGGAGGGCCTGGCGTGGTGGCTCACGCCTGTAATCCTAGCACTCTGGGAGGCCGAGGCGGGTGGATTGCTCAAGGTCAGGAGTTCGAAACCAGCCTGAGCAAGAGCGAGACCCCGTCTCTACTATAAATAGAAAGAAATTAATTGGCCAACTAAGATACATAGAAAAAATTAGCCAGACATGGTGGCGCATGCCTGTAGTCCCAGCTACTCGGGAGGCTGAGGCAGAAGGATTGCTTGAGCCCAGGAATTTGAGTTTGCTGTGAGCTAGGCTGACGCCACGGCACTCACTCTAGCCTGGGCAACAAAGCGAGACTCTGTCTCAAAAAAATAAAAAGAAAGGAAAGCAGAGGTGAATCTAAGTTGAAATTTATTATAACTACATTTGTTTTTCTACTGAAAAGTTTTTCCAATAGTTTATACACTTTCTTAGGTTTTATTTGTACCCAAGACTTTGTGATAAAATACAATGGTTTTCCCAATAAATATCCATCTTGAAATATGAAGTAAATTAAAAATAATAACTGTAGTCAAACTGCAGATTACTTAAGGTGAATGTTTAGAAAATCACTTACCTCCAGTTGCCACAGTGATTTCACGTAGGAAATGGCCATAAAATGGAAAATCGAAGGACAGATTCACTCTCTGCAAGGAACAACACCAGAGAAGAAAATCAATAATGTGGAGCATAGTAAATATAAAATGAAGAGACTTTACTTAAAAAACATATGATGCTTCTACTATGCCCCATTATTATCATAGTTGACTTTGAAAGCCCGAGTCCTCAATGGGGATTAAAGAATATATTTCCTGGTAATTAAATGTTGGAAGTATGTGAAAAGAATAAAGTTAACATCACTACTGCATTTTTGTTGTCCACTGAACAAGCAGTTCAGTCATCATGATGAACAATTTATTTTGGGGTTCTTTTTAGCTTGACTAGTTCCTCCAAAATAATAGAGCAAGATTCATTGAATAAAAATCGAAAGATTTTCTTTTCAATGATTACATATTCAATTTGTTTTCCATACATCCCTTTATGAAAGGCAGTTTTGTGGCAGAAGATGTCTTGCACCTACAGATCTAGACCTGCAGAACTTTTTATTTTTAAAATACAATAAGCTCTTCTGATTTAGTATATTATATCCACTTTTAAAAGCACAGAGTTACAGAATAAATAACACTGGTTACTGGAGAACTACTTTTACTTGGTATAGAGGAAAATTAGAGAGACTTAGAAAGAAAGTTCATAAATTGTACCCTTCTTTTTTCTAAAAAGCAGCCTAAAGCTTTGGCTCTTAATATTTTTAAAAATTATATATAGATTTACATATGTATGTGTGTATAGTATATATGTGTATTTCTATAAATAATATATGTTAAACTTTTTAAAAAAACCAAAACACAACAAAGCAAAACAAAAACAAAAACAAAAAAAAAACTCTAGCTTTTTTGTATGTTTGAAATGATATGAAATAGATGTAGTATTGTTAGGCAAGAAACAGGAAAAATATTAAGTTATAACAAAGATGATCAACTGAAAAGGACCCAGAGAGAAAGTAATTAACTGGTTTAGAGCCCAACTGCACGTACAAATTACCTATAATAAAAGGCAATTATGTTAAAATTCCACTATTTCTGTACTATATCTCTCCCAATATATAAATTTAAAAAAATAAAAAAAAACTATATCTAGATTGAATTTAGCAAATGATTGCTTTTTTTATATTCATCAGAGATTTCTAATGACTTAGTTGGCAAGAAATTAATCACTCAGAATTTACAGTGACTTTCAATTAGGTTTTCTTCCGTTTTTAATGAAAACCACATCTTTATAAAGAGTTTAGCATCAAAAATAAACAAATGGGATCTGATCAAATTAAAAAGTTTCTGCACAGCCAAGGAAACTATCAGTAGAGCAAATAGACAACCCACAGAGTGGGAAAAAATATTTGTTCTCTACACCTCTGATAAAGGTCTAATAACAAGAATCTATCTAGAACTAAAAGAATTAACAAGAAAAAAATCAAACAATCCCATCAAGAAATGGGCAATGGAAATGAACAGAAACTTCTCCAAAGAAGACAGAATAACAGCCTGCAAACATATAAAAAATGCTCAACATCTCTAATCATCAGAGAGATGCAAATCGAAACCACAATGAGATACCACATGACCCCAGTGAGAATGACCTATATCAAGAAATCCCAAAACAACAAATGCTGGTGAGGATGTGGAGAGATAGGAACACTCTTACACTGCTGGTGGGACTGCAAACTAGTGCATCCTTTGTGGAAAAGAATTTGGAGATAACTCAAACAGCTAGAAATAGAAATACCATTTGACCCAGCAATAGCATTATTAGGCATCTATCTAAAAGAGCATAAGACGTTCTATTATAAAGACATCTGCACCTGAATGTTTATCGCAGCAGAATTCACTATTGCACAGGTCATAGAAACAACCAAGTGCCCGTCAATTCATGAGTGGATAATTAAAATGTGGTATATGCTCACAATGGAATATTACTCAATTCTAAGAAAGGACAGTGAGCTAGCACCGTTTATGCTATCCTGGATTAAGCTTAAGCCCATTATTCAAAGTGAGGCTACACAAGATATGGAAAATGGGCTCCACATCTACTCGCCATCAAATTGATATTGACTGATGTTTTAAAACTATGGTGCTCAAATGGTGGTAATGTTCACCAGGGATTCGGGTTGGGGGGAGACCCACATCTTAGGGATGTGGCGAGTATTGTGGGGGGGAAGGGCATACCTCTAACCCTTCTTAGGGAGAGGCAAAGATATACAATGTAACCAAAATGTCAAAAAAAAACCCAAAACTTTTATCAGGTGGTGGGCAGGCAGGAGGGGTGAGGAAGAGAAGGGTGTATACCTACATAATGGGTGGGGTGCACATCACCTGGGGGTTGGACACGTTTGAAGCTCTGGCACATGGGGGGGGAGGGGTGGGAGGGGCAATATATGTAACCCTAACAATATTTGTACCCCCATAATATGATGAAATAAAATGAAAAAAATAATGAAACAAAACAAACAAGCAAAAAAAAAAGTTTATCATCATTTTTATTTTGTGTTGACTAAGAGGAACAACAAGACCCATTTTCACTGCACTAACTGAAATGAGCGGTCACTAATAACGCTAAAATGAAAGTTTTTATGGCAAAATCATTTATCTCAAAGATGTCAGAAAAAAATTTTACAAAGGCATTTGCTTAGGATATTGCTTTCCATCACTCTAATTGATTTCCATACTCATCAGTAAATTGGTAAAATTTACAACTGTTAGCATTCTCACTTCCAGAAAGGAAGTTTGGTTTAAATATATATTAATATTATTACTAACAAACCCTATCAATTACCATCAAGGATGAATTAGCAGGATATGACATGAATTTCTCAGCTGTTGTAAATATTTAAATACATTTAGTATTAGATTAAGACACAGGAATGCATACGTGAATTAAAGACTTTTCGTTGAGGAACAAATAAGTAAAAAGAAAATGTGCTAATAGATCAGTCATCCTGAAGAGCAACATCAATGATTGAAAATGTTTCCCTGTTTAAATGATCAATTTTCCTTAGTTCCCACCATTACCTGCTTCACCCTGATATGGAATAGCGAAGGCAACTTAGGAAGATGCTACCTTCTAAATAGTTGTGGAAATCCATTCATTTCTCTCTAGTCACTATTGACACTCTTCCCTAAGTGTAGGTCTCTATTATTGTAATAACTTTATCATAAGTGTCTTCAAGAGGAGTTCAGTTCCCCTTGAATTCATCCTCCATGCTAGGTAGCATATTACAGCCCCACTTCAAATCACTCACTCTAGAATCCCATTGTCCCCGAGAGTCATGCCAACGTGGTGGACATGAGTTCTAAGGCCCACCCCATGAACTGGCCCCTGCTACTTTACCACTTTCTTCTTCACACTCTCTGCTCCAGCCAGTCATAATCAACATTTTTCAGTTCCTTGAACTTTCCATCCTTAACTCTTGGCTCTTGGTATTTCTACATGACATCCCTTCTGATTAGAATAGTCTCTCAACCTTGGTCAGTCATGGCTTCCATATTCTTCAAGCCTCGGCTTGGTTTGGGTTTCCCCCCAAAACCAACCCTGATATAAGGACAGAGGGGTAGATATTTTGTTTGGAGAGTATGCATAGTAAGCACTTGCTAAAAGAAGTGGGAAAAGTGAGACAAGGAAAGGAAAAAACCCAACAAGTACAGTATTGGGTGTGTTACCATTATAGCCAGTTGGGTCTCTGACCCCGTGGAGACCCTCTGAGAAACAATAAAAAAAATGTGCCTAAGAATCATTTCATTGGTGGTCAGAAGGCTGGGACAGTTATCCCTTCACTCCCACTGCTCCCACTGGAAGTACTTTGTGATTAAAAGTCTGGAGTAGGCCAGCCGCAGTGGCTCACTCCTATAACCCTAGTACTCTGGGAGGCCAAGGTGGAAGGATCACTTGAGGTTAGGTGTTCCAGACCAGCCTAAGCAAGAGCCAAACCTTGTCTCTACAAAAATAGAAAAATTAGCCAGATGTGGTGGTGCATGGCTGTAGTCCCAGCTACTTGGGAGGCTGAGGCAGGAGGATCTCTTGAGCCCAGGAGTTTGAGGTTGCAGTGAGCTATGATGATGCCACTGCACTCTAGCCCAGGTGACAGAGGAAGACCCTGTTCTCTGAAAAAAAAAAAAAAAAATGTAGTAGTGAGTGAAAGGAAACTCAAAGCACAGATTTCCAGCTGGGTGACTGGTGAATCACAGTGCCACCAACTGAGATGAAGAAGAGTGATTTTTGGTTAGGTGTGAAAAAACTTGCTATGTCACTACACTAATTAGTTACGCATCCTTTAACTATATAGTATACAGTTTTTTAAACAACCCCAAACTGAATATGAAACAAAAGACTCTTCTGCAACCAAAAAGGCTAACTGAACCCTGGGCACCATCATAAAGAGCAATTATAAACAAAAAGAAACATAATGCTGAAATTATGGTATAATTACTATACCTTGAACATTATGCTATCTTGAATTTTATTCTTTAAGAAATATTTAATGTAAAGGAAAAAAAAAGATTCGGGAAAATGGTCATGTGAAGACCTGATAAATTGATTAAGAGTCTGGGCAAAACACAGAATAAAAGTTCAGAAGTGAAATGTTAAAGACCATGAGAAGCATAAATAGAATCAACTGAGTTTGCTAACTACTTTCTTTTTTCTTTTTATTTCAGCATAATATGGGGGTACAAATATTAAGGTTACATACATTGCTCTTGCCTTCCCTCCCCCCTCGAGTCAGAGCTTCAAGCGTGTCCATCCCCCTGACAATGCACATTGAACTTATAATGTATATATATATATACCCATCCCTTACTCCCCCCTCCCACCTGCCTGACAACTGATAAATGTTTCTTTTTTGTTTCTTTGTTTTTTGGTTTTTTTTTTTACATTTCAGTTAGATTTTATAACTTTGCCTTTACTTAGCAAGGGTTAGAGGTATGCTCTGACAGTCTATAGAAAGGGGTTAACTATTAGAAAGGGTGGAGAATGGTAATTTTGAGACAAAAAAAAAGAAGTGTTATGTCTTCATCGTGTGGAAGATAAATTTATGAAA